GCATCAGGAGCCTGGAAAAGCAGGTTTATCACTAAGACGAAAGACGCCAAACGCATGCTAACAATGGCGTCCAGCTGGAGAGAATGAAGGCAGAGATAAACACAGAATAAAGCAGTTTGTTGATCATTGTGACATTGAAGTTTGGATGTGAAGTGAGGAACAAAAGAAAGGAAGGGGGGAGGGGGGAGGGAGAGAACAATGCGAGTGATTGATTGATAGGAGAGAGAGAAAGGGAGGAGAGGAGAGGAGAGAGAGAGAGAGAGAGAGAGAGAGAGAGAGAGAGAGAGAGAGAGAGAGAGAGAGAGAGAGAGAGAGAGAGAGAGAGAGAGAGAGAGAGAGAGAGAGAGAGAGAGAGAGAGGGGGGGGAGAGAGCAGGGACGGAGGGAGGGAGAAAAACAGAGAGAGAGATAAACTGTAATTTTTATGATAATAACGACAACAGTTTCCTCCTCCTCCTCCTCCTCCTCCTCCTCTTCCCCCTCCTCCTCCTCTTCCTCCTCCTCCTCCTCCTCTTCCTCCTCCTCCTCCCCCCCTTCCTCCTCCTCCTCCTCCTCGGACGGTACAAAGCGAGGCGGGGAGAAGAGAAAAGACACCGGATGACGTCACGGCGGCGGGAAAGTACCAGTGGAAGGTCAGTATCCTGTTTCTACGTAACCTTTCCTTTCTCTTGGTTCGCTGTGTTGTGTATCCTCTTTTTACTTTTTGCTTATTATGATTATTTTTGTTTTATCATTATAAGAATGATAATAGTAATAGTAATGATGCTAATAATTATTATAATGATAATAATAATAATAGCAATAATAATAATAATAATAATAACAATAATGATAATAATAATAATAACAATAATGATAATAGTAATAATGGTGATGCTGATTAAAAAAAAAACAATGGCAATGATAATTGCTGTCATTATTACTGTTATTATAATAATAATCATCGTCTTCTCCTCCCTGTATTTTTTCTTCATCCATTGTTCCTGTTTGTCTCCCTTTTTTTCATTTTATCTTATTCTTTCGCTTCTTCCTCTTCATCATCTATCTTTTCTTTCGTTTCTTTTTTCATTTTCTCCCGTCTTCATCTCCCTCTTCATTACATTTTCCTTCCCTGATTTATAATTCGCGTTACTGTCACGTATAAGGCAAATGAGGTGCGAATTCCGCGTTTTTCTGAAGTGTATTGCTGTGAATCCGAACATACACGAACGCAGGTACGTTCGCAGAATGAGAAAGCGTTTTTTTTCCTTCGCTTCTTCTTCCCTTTCTTTATCTTCATCTCCTTATGTATTGAATTTTCTATCTACGATATATTAATCGTGTTATTGTCAAGCGCAAGACAAATGAGATGCGAATTCCACGTTTTTCTGGTGAATCCGAACTTACACGAACGCAGGCACGTTCGCGGAATGAGGAACCGTACTTTTTCCCTTCTCTTCGTATTGCCTTTCTTTATCTTCTTTATCTCCTATTTTATTCATTTTTCTATCCCCGATATATTACTCGTGTTCCTGTCACGTATAAGGCAAATGAGGTGCGAATACCGCGTTTTTCTAAAGTGTATTGCTGTGAATCCGAGCTTACACGAACACAAGCACGTTCGCAGAATGAGAAAGCGAGAGGATGCGGGAATAAAATAATAAAAAAAGGTTATAAGAAAGAAAGGAAAAAGAAGAATTAGAAAGGCAAGAAAAATAGGAAAGATTGGAGAATCACCGTTCTGAAGGCGAGATCAGCAGAGAAATACAAAGAGAAAGAATACACCCACAAAAAAGAAAAGAAAAGCAACAGAGAGAGAAAAAAAGGAAGACTGGGGCAAAAACAGACAACGATGGCGAGAGAGAGAGAGAGAGAGAGAGAGAGAGAGAGAGAGAGAGAGAGAGAGAGAGAGAGAGAGAGAGAGAGAGGGAGAGAGAGAGAGAGAGAGAGAGAGAGAGAGAGAGAGAGAGAGAGAGAGAGAGAGAGAGAGAGAGATAGAGAGAGAGAGAGAGAGAGAGAGAGAGAGAGAGAGAGAGAGAGAGAGAGAAAGCAAAATAAGAGAAAGAGAGAGTACAGACACAAACACACACAAAAAAAACGAGAGAACAGGCCATATATATATACATAAAAAATCTCGCCCGACCATCGATCACAGCAGGCGTCTCCACCAACAGGACATCAACTTTGACCTCTTTTTTGGCCCTGAAAGTCTCCTCTCCCCCCCCACCCCCTTCCTCCCTCCCCCCCACTTCCCCTCTACCCTCTCCCCTTGCCTCCCCTCCCCCCTTCCTCCCTCCCTCCCACTTCCCTTCTACCCTCTCCCTCTCCCCTTGCCTCCCCCCCTCCCCCCATCTTCCAGGTAGAGGGTGAGTCACTTCTAAAAGTTCATTTGCCTTTTATCTTCGCCTTTTTGCTCGTGGGAAAAAATTACTTGTATATCTGTTTATTTTAGATATCTATTATTGTACGTAACTATCTATTAGGAATGAATTTATGTCCCATCTCTGCTTATTGAAATATATTCCGCTGTCTATTTGGATTAAAAGAAAGTCATATATGCATCCATCAGTCTATTTATCAATATCTAATTTATTCTTCAACCCATCTTTATGTTTATTATTATTATTATTATTATTATAATTATTATTATTCTCACGA